GGCAGGCGAACACTGTGTGGCAGGGACCCAGATACCGGGGCTCCCCAGAACCTGGCCCTGACAGATTTTTTGTGTAGGAAGAGGCAAGACCAGCCAGCTCTCCACATAGAGAACATGGTGTAAGGTGAGAAAAACTCAAGGAAGGGCTCACCTCTCATGGGGCTCCCACCCATTCAGAACCTGGCCGCTTCCCTCTCTTCCTCCTCCTCCTTCTCCATCATAAAACCAGGTGGCCGGCCAGGCATGGTGGCTCATTCCTATAATCCCAGCACTCTGGGAGGCTGAGATGGACGGATCACTTGAGGTCAGGAGTTTGAGACCAGCCTGGCAACATAGTTAAATCCTGTCTCTACTGAAAATACAAAAATTAGCCAGGCATAGGGGTGGCCACCTGTGATCCCAGCTACTTGGGAGGCTGCGGCAGAATTGCTTGAACCCAGGAGGTGGAGGTTGCAGTGAGCTAGGGTTGCGCCACTGTACTCCAGCCTGTGGCGACAGAGTGAGACCCTGTTTTAAAAAACAAACAAGGCCGGGCGCGTTGGCTCATGCCTGTAATCCCAGCACTTTGGGAGGCCGAGGTGGGCGGATCACGAGGTCAGGAGATCGAGACCATCCTGGCTAACACGGTGAAACCCCGTCTCTACTAAAAATGCAAAAAATTAGCCAGGCGAGGCGGCGGGCACCTGTAGTCCCAGCTACTCGGGAGGCTGAGGCAGGAGAATGGTGTGAACCAGGGAGGCGGAGCTTGCAGTGAGCCGAGATCGCGCCATTGCACTCCAGCCTGGGCGACTAAGCGAGACTCTGTCTCAAAAAAACAAACAAACAAACAAACAAACAAATAGGCCGGGCGCGGTGGCTTAAGCCTGTAATCCCAGCACTTTGGGAGGCTGAGACGGGCGGATCACGAGGTCAAGAGATTGAGACCATCCTGGCTAACATGGTGAAACTCGTCTCTACTAAAAAATACAAAAAACTAGCCGGGCGAGGTGGCAGGTGCCTGTAGTCCCAGCTACTGGGGAGGCTGAGGCAGGAGAATGGCCTAAACCCAGGAGGCGGAGCTTGCAGTGAGCTGAGATCCGGCCATTGCACTCCAGCCTGGGCGACAGAGTGAGACTCTGTCTCAAAAAAAAAAGAAAAATAACAAACAAATAAAAACACAAAAGACAAACCCATGTGGCCCAGAACATTAAGGGAGGAGAGCAGGTAAGGCACTCAGGCACTCATTGTCTCAGGCAAGGCAAAAGCTGGGTGGGACTGGGCCAGGCACGGTGGCTCACGCCTGTAATCCCAGCACTTTGGGAGGCTGAGGCAGGTGGATCACCCGAGGTCAGGAGTTGGAGACCAGCCTGACCAACAAGGTGAAACCCAGTCTCTACTATAAATACAAAAATCAGCCAGGTGTGGTGGCGCGTGTCTGTAATCCCAGCTATTCAGGAGGCTGAGGTGGGAGAATCACTTGAACCCGGGAGGCGGAGTTTGCAGTGACCCAAGATTGCACCACTGCACTCCGGCCTGGGGAACAAGAGCAAAATTCCATCTCAAAATAAAATAGATAAATAAAATTTTAAAAAGCTGGGTGGGACCTAAGATACATGAGAGCCTCTGAAGCCCCTCACAGTCCTGGTTCTATCTCCAGTGAGGTCATTCGCGCTCACCCAAGACCTAAGGGAACAGGAGCAGCCATGTTCATCAAGGCAAGTGCTGAGCGTGTGAGATGTGCAGGTGGAAATGATGTCGTCTGATGTGAATCTGACAAAATCTTGTTCCCAGGGGCATCTGGTTTGGTAAGAGTCTGGTGCAAGGCCTTGTGTGTGGAAAGGGGTTAGACAGACCTGGGTGCTGGTTCCAGCTGCCCCTGACTCACTGTGGGACTTTGATAGGTCGTTTCCGCTCTCAGAACCTGTTTCCTCATCCAAATGGGAACAATTATGGAACTTAGTTCAAAGGTGGTTGTGAAAACCTGTTGACATGACGAGGAGAAAGCAGAAAGTGTAAGAAATGACAAGGAAATCCCAGAAATGAGAATGCCCGCTGCCTGGGGCCACTGTCACTGAGGCTTGTACTTTTTGTGTGTTTCTTTTTGAGACAGAATCTCGCTCTGTTGCCCAGGCTGCAGTGCAATGGTGTGATCTCGGCTCACTGCAACCTCGACCTCCCAGGTTCAAGCGATTCTCTGCCTCAGACTCCTGAGTAGCTGGGATTACGGGCGTGTGCCCCCATGCCTGGCTAATTTTTTTTGGATTTTTAGTAGAGATGGGGCTTTGCCATGTTGGCCAGGTTGATCTTGAATTCCTAGCCTCCTGTGATCTGCCTGCCTCGGCCTCCCAAAGTGGTGGGATTACAGGCGTGGGCCACCACACCTGGCTGTGTGTTTCATCTAGAAGAGCTGATAGATGGAGACAAGGGTCCGAAGTCTGGACCAGGACCAGAGAACAGGCATGGGATACTTGATGGCAGGGTGTGGGGGTAATGGGTCGCTGTCTAGTGTAACCCTAGGAGCCCGGTTGTGGGCAGTTGCCCACCAGATACTCAAAGCCGCCTCTGGAGGTGGGTCTTTTGTGGCTGACTCCCTATGAAGTGCCTGTGTGCTCACCCTTATTTCCCAGCCTCCCTCTTGGCTAGTTTGGGCCAAGTGACTAGTTATAGACAAGGAGCTGTGAGTAGAAGTTATGTCTCCCAAATAAGGGGGAGTTGGTTTGGAGTTGGTGTGTCTTCATCTCTCTCTTCCCCTGCTGTGGTCATTCTGGTGGCCACATGTTCTGATGGTATAGCTCAAAATAGAGGAGGGCTACCAGACCCTCATTAAACTGAGACAAACATACCTTTATTGTGTTCAGCCACAGAGGTTTTGTGGTGGTTTGCTGAGTTGGTTAATGCTAATTACCCTGGTGAATACAGTGCTACTATTATCTCCACTTTATTGGGACCACGTCAGTTGCCTGTAGTCACACAGCTTGTAAGTGGGCAGAGCTGAGACTGAAATCGAGGTCTTACTTGTATGGCTGGTTTTTAGAAACCAAGTTTCACCAAGTTGGCCAGGCTAGTCTCAAACTCTTGACCTCAAGTGAGCTGCCTGCCTCAGCTGCCCAAAGTAATAGGACTACAAGTATGAGCCTGTAGTCTGGTCTAAAATTTATTTATATTATTTATTTATTTATTTATTTTTTTTTTATTTTTTTTGAGGGTCTAGTGTGCCAGGTGGAGTGCGTGGCGCTCGGCCCGCGCTCCCCCGGGTCACGCATTCTCCTGCCTCCTGAGTAGCTAGGGCCCGCCCGGCCGGCTAATTTTTTTGTATTTTAGTAAGACGGTTTCATGTCTCGATTCTACCTTGATCCCCCGCCTCGCTCCAAGTGCTGGATTACAGCTGAGCCCGGCCGCTATTTATTTATTTTTGAGATGGAGTCTCGCTCTGTCAAACAGGCTGGAGTGCAATGGTGTGCTCTCAGCTCACTGTAACCTCTGCCTCCTGGGTTCAAGTGTTTCTCCTGCCTCAGCCTCCAGAGTAGCTGGGACTACAGGTGCGTGCTACCACGCACAGCTACATTTTGAATTTTTTGTAGAGCTGGAGTTTCATAATGTTGGCCAGAATGGTCTCAATCTCTTGACCTTGTCTCTGACCTCCTTGGCCTCCCAAAGTGCTGGGATTACAGGCATGAGCCACTGCACCCGGCCTACTTTTTTATTTTTTTGAGATGGAGTTTCACTCTTGTTGCCCAGGCTGGAGTCCTGTGGCGCAATCTCGGGACATGTTTTTTTTGTATTTTTAGTACTGACAGGGTTTTGCCATGTTGGACAGGCTGGTCTCGAACTACTGACCTCAGGAGATCCACCCACCTCGGCCTCCCATAGTGCTGGTATTACAGGCATGAGCCACCACACCCGGCAAAATTTATTTTTTATTTATTTTTTTGAGACCGAGTTTTGCTCTAGTTGCCCAGGCTGGAGTGCAATGGCGCAATCTTGGCTCACCGCAACCTCCGCCTCCCGGGTTCAAGTGATTCTCCTGCCTCAGCCTTCCAAGTAGCTGGATTACAGGCATGCGCCACCATGCCTGGCTAATTTTTTTGTATTTTTAGTAGAGAGGGGTTTCTCCATTTTGGTCAGGCTCGTCTTGAACTCCCGACCTCAGGTGATCTGCCCTCCTCAGCCTCCCAAAGTGCTGGGATTACAGGTGTGAGCCACCACGCCTGGCCCGGCAAAATTTATTTTTAACAAGAAAAAAAAAATTTACCTCTGGGAACACAGAACATAATTTTTAAACAAAAAGGGGGTCTCTCGGCTGGGGGCAGTGGCTCACGCCTGTAATCCCAGCACTTTGGGAGACTGGGACAGGTGGATCACAAGGTCAAGAGATTGAGACCATCATGGCCAAGATGGGCGTGGTGGCACGCTCCTGTAGTCCCAGCTACTCAGGAGGCTGAGGCAGGAGAATTGCTTAAACCCGGGAGGCAGAGGTTGCAGTGAGCTGAGACTGTGCCAGTGCACTCCAGCCTGGGTGACAGAGCGAGACCCCATCTCAGGGAAAAAAAAAAAAGAAAAGAAAAGAAAAAAGAAAGCGGGGGGGGGTGGTCTCTCTTTGTTGCCTAGGCTGGTCTTGAACTCCTGGCCTCAAGCGAACTCCTGCCTTAGCCTCCCAAAGTGCTGGGATTACAGGCATGAGCCACCACACCTGGCCCACTCTAAACTCTTGCCTGCTTCTTCCCAGCCAAGAAAGGCAGTATTGCAAAGCACAAGCTTGGGTCTGACCTGAGCTCAAATCCCTGTTCTGCCCCTTACTAGCTGTGTGACCTTGTGCAAGTCACTTTGTCTCCTCTCTGAGTCTCAGCGTCTTCATCTGTAAGATGAGGATAATTATGCTAATTTCTCACAGGATGATTTTAAGCATCAGAGACAATGGATATAAAGCACTTAGCAAAATGCCTGGCTCATGTAGGCCTGTTCTAATCCAAGGCACGCTCTCTTTGTCTTAGGTACTATTGGGGGCTATTGGAGAAGAGGGAATCAGTGTACAGATATGTTTATTGACAAAGTACATGTACCCCTATATAAGTATCACTGCGACATTTCAGGAACCTTGGAGCTGGGAACGCCCCTTCCTCCCTGCCTGCCTCTTCTCTAGGCTCCTCCTGATTCAGCTTGGGCTCTCTAGAAAAGCGCTTCTGGCATTTTCTCGCTGGAAACTCTGTAGGTGTGCTGGTTGGGCTCTCGGCGTTTATCATGTCCACACCCTTCTGTCCCTGGGAACTGTGGACAAGGGGCGATGAGCCCGCTCAGTCATTCATGTCCAGCCCAAACTCTGGATACAACTCTTTGGTGGTGACACCTCGGATCACAGCTGAAAGGAAGGAAGGAAGGCTGAATGTGCAGTGGGGACAGGTGGGAGGGAGTACAGCCAATGCCCCCAGCCAGTGTCACTGCCCTGACCCACCCAGGACCATCTCTGGCTTCAAGCCGGTCCGCACACTTGTGCTTCGCCTAACTGGCCAAGGTAAGCTCTCTGCTGCTCCTTCCAGGCTGCCCCACCGCGGGCCCCGCCTGGCCACGCTGGAGCTCTGCCATGTGCCAGCCACTGTATTCAACAATGGACCTACGAGGACTCCTTGGACCCTCACCCCATTTTGCAGAGGAATGAAACAGCTCCCTCCATTCCATTCTCCACACAGAGCTGCTGGATTCATCCGCTTCAAATGTAAGCTGATTGTATGCTGTGCCTGCTGAACATTCCAGACTCCTCGGCATGGCCCACGTGCTCGAGTTTGCCCCTCTGCAGCCTCTGTGATGTTATTCCTCCTCTGTTCTCCACAAAGGCTGGTCCTTTCTCCTGAGGAAGGGTTCTCCTCAGAGGCCTCCCCTGACTACCTATCTTACCCCCACCGCCCCCCTGTTCATACCTCAATATTCTCCCCATCTCTGCCGTTTGTCACCTTCATAGCACCTAACACATTTTGTAATTAACTGCTGAGTCCACTTACTTCCTGGGCATTCCTCTACCCCCAACAGGAAAACAAACCACATGACAGCAAGAGACCTGAAAGTGTCTGGATCACCAAAGTGTCCCCAGCACTCTGTAGAGTGCTGGGCACAGAGCAGCTGCTCAGCAAATGTTCACTGAATAAACAAAAAGGACGCCAGGTACGGTAGCTCAGCCTATAATCTCAGCACTTTGGGAGGCCAAGGCAGGTGGATCACTTGGGGTCAGGAGTTCGAGACCAGCCTGGCCAACGTGGTAAAATCCCGTATCTACTAAAAATACAAAAATTAGCCGGGCGTGGTGGCCGATGCCTGTAATCCCAGCTACTCAGGAGGTTGAGGCACTAGAATCACTTGAACCTGGGAGGCGGAGGTTTCAGGGAGCCAAGATCATACCACTGCACTCCAACCTGGGTGACAGAGTGAGATCAGTCTAACAAAACAAAAAAAAAAAAAAAGGGAGAGGCCACCGGCTCCAGGTCATATGACCTGGAAGTGACAGGCCTCATGCTGATTCTCGCTACTAAGAGCTTGTGTTCTTTTTTTTTTTTTTTGAGACGGAGTCTGGCTCTGTTGCCCAGGCTGGAGTGCGGTGGTGTGATCTCGGCTCACTGTAACCTTCGCTTCCTGGGTTCAAGCGATTCTCTTGCCTCAGCCTCCCGAGTAGCTGGGATTACAGGCGCATGCCACCACACCTAGCTAATATTTGTATTTTCAGTAGAGACAGGGTTTCACTGTGTTGGTCAGGCTGGTCTCGAACTCCTGACCTTGTCATCCGCCTGCCTCGGGTGCCCAAAGTGCTGGGATTACAGTGAGCCCAGCCCTCTTTTTTTTTTTTTTGAGATGGAGTTTCGCTCCTGTTGCCCAGGCTGGAGTGCAATGGCACGATCTCAGCTCGCCACAACCTCTGCCTCCCGGGTTCAAGTGAGTCTCCTGCCTCAGCCTCCCGAGTAGCTGGGATTACGCATGTGCCACCACACCTGGCTAATTTTATATATTTAGTAGAGACAGTTTCTCCATGTTGGTCAGGCTGGTCTTGAAATCCCGACCTCAGGTGATCCATCCGCCTCGGCCTCCCACAGTGCTGGGAGTACAGGTGTGAGCCGCTGTGCCCAGTTGAGCGTGTGTTCTTAACCACTAGGCTACACTCCCCTCACACCCCCATCTTCTTGGGCCCTGATCACCCCCATCTTTTTATCCATCTATAGTTCCCGCCTCCAGTTTTTTCTTCTCCTCCTTTGGGGCCCATTGTCTAATGAAACACAGAGAAGCCTCCCTGCCGTGGAATCCTGGATGCTGAAGGCATTTCTGCAACAAGTGCCAAAACTCACACAGCAACTGGGCAGACGGCCCAGCTCTGAACACTACCCCTGGCTGCTGGTCACTGGCTGCTGAACATCAGAGTGCCCAGCACTCCAAGCTAGGGGATGGAACTGAAGGGTTTGTAGGGGCCACCTGCACATTTCATCACCTCCAAGGTGGTAGGCTCTCCTGGCCAGCATGACACGCAGGTGTTGGTGCCTTGGCTAAAGCCCTCTAGATAGCAAGATTTTGTTCAGGGAGGAAGAAAATACTTCTTTAAGTCACAAAAGGTCACCCTTGCACTTGCTGCCTCTTTAGCAAGCCAGCCACTTGAGGCATGGATGGTATCTCGATCACTCTGAGTAGGCCCCAGAAGACTGGGGAGACCCTGAGTCCTCAGTCTGGCAGATGGGCAAGTCCCGCTCAAACCTGGCTGCAGCTCCAAAGCAGGTTCTGTACTTGAGGAACAAACCTAGGCGGCCAGGGAGACCAGAGGCTGGTAAGGAGAGGGGCTGGGGCAGCCCAGGAGCAGGCCAACTGCGGAGGGCGTGAGAGTTGGCAAGTTAGGAGGCCCAGAAGCAAAAGCCAACACCCCTAGGTGAGACGACACCCTATGATGCCTGCTTGTGGCTCTGCAGTCCCAACTACTCACCTAGTTTGCCCATCAGCATCTGCCCCACATCCTTGATGTCATTGTACTCGTGAAGCTGGGTAATGTGGTCCTCCAGTTCATCCACACTGTAGCCTCTGGGATGAGCGATGGAGAGAGGGGGAAAGACAGCTCAGTTAAGAAAGCAGATGATGACCCCAGGCTCAGACAGTAATAAGGCATCTGTAAGGGCCTACTTGGTGCTAGGTACTAGGGATATGGTGACAGCAAGATAGGCCCTGCCCTCATGAAGCTTACAGCAGGGCAGGGCATCTTCCCAGGTCCGCACTCCTGGCAAACGTGCCCTGTCTCCTTAGGGCGGGGTCTCCAGCTACAATGGTACCATGTGACCCTGGCCACAGCTGAGGGACTCGCAGATGGGCACATGATCCAAACAGCCAGGTGGATTCCTTCAAGTGTGACATGCACATTCAAAGGCAGTTTAGTCTCTGCCGTGTGGCTGGAGCAAGAGGTGTGGGGAACTCTAGGAGGTGTTCAAGAGCCAGCTTCCCCTACACACTGAAAACTCTACCTGCAGAGAGAGAAAGGAGTTTGTGCAGAGGGAAGTAGAGGCGGAGAACATGGCTCCAGAGACTGAGAGAGCAACAGCTTCCATCCCAGATAGCTTTCCAGGTCCCAGTTCAGGCCCTCCCACAGCCTAAGCATCTCACTACCTGAGAGGCTGCTGAGATGTCCTGAATCCAGAAGCATAATCCGTCTGTCCGTCTTTCCTTCCATCCTTGCTTCCTCCCTCCCTCCCTCCCTGCCTCCCTCCTTCCTTCCTTTCTCCCCCTCCCTCTCTTCCCTTTCCCTTTCCTCTCTCCCTTCCCTCTCCCTTCCATCTCTCTCCCTTCCCTTCCCTTCCTTCCTTTTTCTTTCCTTTCTTTCCTTTCCTTTCTTTTCCTTCCCTTCCCTTTCCCTTCCCCTTCCCTCCTTCCCTCCTTCCTTCCTTTCTTCCTTTCTTTCTTGACCAAGTCGTGCTCTGTAGCCAGGTTGGAGTTCAGTGGCGCGATCTCAGCTCACTGCAATTTCCACCTCCCGGGTTTAAGCGATTCTCCTGCCTCAGCCTCCCGAGTAGCACACAGTCCTATTTCTATGCTAAGCCAGTGCGACTGGGTTTTTCAGTTACTGGGCAGTTAGAGAGTTAAAAGTTGTCTTTTTTTTTTTTTGAGCTAGATTCTCAATCCATCACCCAGGCTGGAGTGCAGTGGCGTGATCTCAGCCGACTGCAACCTCCATCTCCCAGGTTTAAGCGATTCTCCTGCCTCAGCCTCTGGAGTAGCTGGGACTACATGCACGTACCACCGTGCCCAGCTATTTTTTGTATTTTTAATAGAGACAGGGTTTTGCCATATTGGCCAAGCTGGTCTCAAACTCCTGACCTCAAGTGATCTGCCCACCTCAGCCTCCTAAAGTGCTGGGATTACAGGCGTGAGCCACTATGCCTGGCCCAAAGTTATCTTAACCATGATGGGGAACCCAATGAAACTTACTCAGATATGAACTGGGAGATCTCCTCATCCAGCATGTCCCTCTTCTCCTTCAGTTTCTGAATGTCAAGGTGCAGAGACTCCTCGCTGGTCCCATCAGCCTGGCCAGACTTGGGCGATGGCCTCTGAGAGGCAAAAAAAGTCATCAGCCAGACTGACCAGTTATCCAAAATTCACAGCTTACATGTCCCCCAGTAGTCACTTCCTGCTTGTGCTTGCTAATAGGCACCCTAACCCCCTGAATAAGACTGCATTTCCAAGCCTTCCTTGGAATTAGATGTGGCCCTATGACTAAGTTCCAGCAAGTAGAACTTAATCATCTGGGAATTTCTTTTTGAGACGGAGTCTCACTCTGTCGCCCAGACTGGAGTGCAGTAACCCAATCTTGGCTCATTGCAACCTCTGCCTCCCAGGTTCAAGTGATTCTCCTGTCTCTGCCTCCTGAGTAGCTAGGACTACAGGTGTGCGCCACCATGCCCAGCTAATTTTTGTATTTTTTAGTAGAGATCGGGTTTCACCATACTGGCCAGGCTGGTCTTGAACTCCTGACCTCATGATCTGCCCGCCTCAGTCTCCCAAAGTGCTAGGATTACAGGCGTGAGCCACTGTGTCCAACCTCCCCCCTACTTTTTTTTTTTTTTTTAAATAGGGTCTTGTTCTTGTTCTGTCACCCAGGCTGAATTGCAGTGGCATGATCATAGGTCACTGCAACCTCAAACTCCTGGGCTTAGGTGATCTATCCTCTAGCCTCAGTCTCCGACAGTGTTGGGATTACAGGCATGAGCCACTGTTCCCAGCCAGTGACTGGGAATTGTCCTCCCAGGAAGAGGGCATGCCTTTCTCTGGCTGGAATGTGGATGCAGTGCTGGAGCTGAGCAGCTATCTTGGATGATAAGGTACAAGTCATACATTGAAGATGGTGTTGAATTAGATGGAGGCCTGGGTGCCAATGACTGCTTAAACCATTGTTATTTGGGGTTTTCTTCACTCCTAGCCAAACCCAATCCTAACCAATGGGCCCCCCCTGGTCCCTAGTCTGACCCCACAGAACCTGCTCCAGGCCTCCGTCTTGGGCTCTCCTCTCATTTACAATGTTACTGGTTGTTTTTTTTTTTTTGGTTTTTTTTTTGAGACAGAGTCTCACTCTGCCGCCCAGGCTGGAACACAGTGGCATGATCCCGGCTCACGGCAACCTCTGCCTCCGGGGTTCAAGTAATTCTCCTGCCTCAGCTTCCTGAATAGTTGGGATTACAGGTGCACACCACAATGCCCGGCTAATTTTTGTATTTTTTTTTTGAGATGGAGTTTCACTCTTGTTGCCCAGGCTGGAGTGCAATGGCACAATCTCAGCTCACTGCAAGGTTCCAGCGATTCTCCACCTCTCAGGTTCCAGCGATTCTCCTGCCTCAGCCTCCTGAGTAGCTGCAATTACAGGCGCCTGCTACCATGCCCATCTATTTTTTTTTTTTTTTGTATTTTTAGTAGAGTTGGGGTTTCACCATGTTGGCCAGGCTGGTCCCAAACTCCTGACCTCAGGTGATCCACCCACCTTGGCCTCCCGAAGTGTTGGGATTACAGGTGTGAGCCACTGCTCCCGGCCTCATTTTTGTATTTTTAGTAGAGACAGGGTTTTTGCCATGTTGGCCAGGCTGGTCTCAAACTCCTGACCTCCGGAGATCTGCCTGCCTCGGCCTCTCAAGGTGCTGGGATTACAGGCGTGAGCCACCATGCCCAGCTGTCACTGGGTTTAGAATCTCATTGGATAAAACCCTTCCTTGGGGCTTTCGTCTTTGCCCTTTCTGCCTGTAGAAGCTGTGAAGGCCAGTGCCTAGGACACAGCCAATCTTCAGGAAACGTATGTTGGATGAGCTGTCTACACATGATACAAGAAGGGACCGAGGAGGACGGTCTTCCTGGTTTTAGGTTAGTAGCTTGTAACCAGTCACTCAGAGGAAGGAGTGAGCACCCTCTGCCAGGAACTGACAAAGGGTCCAGGAGCGCAGCAATGAATGAGACATCAAGCCCAGCCCACTGCTCTCATAGAAGGCACAGCCCAGCCTCAAAGAGAAAGTGCCCCACAATGAAGTTCTTCCTCCAGATGCTTCCACTTAAAGCTCTACTTATGCATCGCTCCATCAGAAAGGCCCTCTCTGACAGTCCTGTCTACAACGGTAATGTCTCAATCACTCACTATTCCTTTTTCCTGATTTTTAATATTTTTTGAAATTTAATTTTTCTTTTTTTTTTTTTTTTTTGAGACAGAGTCTCGCTTTGTCACCCAGGCTGGAGTGCTGTGGCGCCATCTCAGCTCACTGCAACCTCCGCCTCCTGGGTTCAAGCGATTCTCCTGCCTCAGCCTCCCGAGCAGCTGGGATTGCAGGTGCATGCCACCATGCCCGGCTAATTTTTCTATTTTCAGTAGAGACGAGGTTTCAGCATGTTGGTCAAGCTGGTCTCAAACTCCTGACCTCGTGATCTGCCCACCTCAGCCTCCCACAGTGCTGGGATTATAGGCGTGAGCCACCGTGCTCGGCCTTTTTTAAATTTAATTTTTAAGATGGGGTCTGTCTCGCTCTGTCATCCATGCTGGAGTGCAGAGGCACAATCATGCCTCACTGTAGCCTCAACCTTCTGGGCTTAAGCAATCCTCCCACCCTAGCCTCCTGAGTAGCTGTTACAACAGGCATGTGCCATCACACTCAGCTAATTTTTTTTTTTGAGGTGGAGTCTTGCTCTGTCGACCAGGCTGGAGTACAATGGCGTGATCTTGGCTCACTGCAGCCTCTACCTCCTGGGTTTATGCCATTCTCCTGCCTCAGCCTCCCAAGTAGCTGGGATTACAGGCACCCCCACCAGCCTGGCTAATTTTTTGTATTTTTATTAGAGACGGGGTTTCACCGTGTTAGCCAGGATGGTCTCAATCTCCTGACCTCGTGATCCGCCCGCCTCAGCCTCCCAAAGTGTTGGGATTACAGGCGTGAGACACCACGCCCAGCCACACTCAGCTAATTAAAAAAAAAAAAAAATTTATTTTTTGTAGAGATGGGGTCTTGCTATGTCACCCCGTGTGTTCTCAAACCCTGGGCTGGAGCAATCCTCACACCTTGGCCTCCCAAAGTGTTAGGATTGCAAACATGAGCCACCGCACCTGGCCTCCTGATGTTCTACAGCATTTTTCATCACCTGACAAGTTATGCATTTCGTTATTTTCATTGTCTTACATTGCTTTACATCACTGAAGTCTAACCTCCATGAGGGAAGGGACTTTTGTTCACTGCTGATCACACAGTGTCCACAACAGTACATAGCACATAGTAGGCACTCAATATTAATATTTATCAATGAATGAATGAATAAGTAACCAATAAATGAATTATGTCTGAAAAATGCTTTGAAGTTGAAGTCCAGTGTGCTATGGGAGGGTCTGACAGGGCAACTGGACTGACCCAGGAGTGGGGATATGGCTTCTCCGAGGAAGCTAAATTTTAAAGGATGAGCAGGCTTTAGCTTGGCAGAAAGGTGGAAGAATGTATTGCAGACAGAGGGGACAGAACAGTTGGCCCTCCATATCAGTGGGTTTCACATTGAAAATATCTGATGAAAAAAAAGCATGGTTGGCCAGGTGTGGTGGCTCACACCTGTAATCCCAGCACTTTGGGAGGCCGAGGCGGGCAGATAATGAGGTCAGTAGTTCGAGACCAGCCTGGCCAACATAGTGAAATCCTGTCTTTAGTAAAAATACAAAAATTAGCCAGGCATGGTGGCGCGCGCCTGTGGTCCCATCTACTTGAGAGGCTGAGGCAGGAGAATCCCTTGAACCTGGGAGGTGGAGATTGCAGCAAGACGAGATCATGCCATTGCACTCCGGCCTGGGTGACAGAGCGAGACTCCGTCTCAAAAAAAAGCATGGTTGAGTCTGTATTGAACAGGTAGAGTTCTTTTTCTTTTTTTTTTTTTTGAGACGGAGTCTCGCTCTGTTGCCCAGGCTGGAGCGCAGGGGCCGGATCTCCGCTCACTGCAAGCTCCGCCTCCCGGGTTTACGCCATTCTCCTGCCTCAGCCTCCCGAGTAGCTGGGACTACAGGCGCCCACCACCTCGCCCAGCTAGTTTTTTGTATTTTTTTAGTAGAAACGGGGTTTCACTGTGTTAGCCAGGATGGTCTCGATCTCTTGACCTCATGATCCACCCGTCTCGGCCTCCCAAAGTGCTGGGATTACAGGCTTGAGCCACCGCGCCCGGCCAGAGTTCTTTTTCTGGTCATTACTCCATGGGGGTCCGGGTAGCAATCTCCATGGACACCCAGGGGTGAATGTGTACCCAAATGCCTTAAGGTAGGAGACAGCACATGTGTTCGGGGGAATGAAAGTGGTTTCCACATGTGTGAGTGGGTGAGTGAGGGGACAGTGGTGTGAAAAAGAATAAATGCAACTGGGCACGGTGGCTCACGTCTGTAATCCCAGCACTCTGGGAGGCCGAGGCAAGAGGATCACGAGGTCAGGAGATCAAGACCATCCTGGCTAACACGGTGAAACCCCATTTCTACTAAAAATACAAAAAATTAGCTGGGCGTGGTGGCACACGCCTGTAGTCCCAGCTACTTGGGAGGCTGAGGCAGAAGAATTGCTTGAACCTGGGAGGTGGGGGTTGCAGTGAGCCGAGATCACACCACTGCACACCAGCCTGGGCGACAGAGCGAGACTCCACCTCAAAAAAAAAAAAAAAAAAAAAAGAACAAATGCAACCATGAGCAGTGCTATTAGAAAGAAGGAGAGGCAGAGCCCACTTTAAGAGCTTGGGGTTCCTCTGATGATGCAAGGGCAGTTGGAGGAGTTGGTTTGTGGTCCTGGTTAGGAGGCTGAGTGTGATTTCAGACTTGGCAAGTGGGAAGGCAAAGATTCTGCGGGCAGCTTTGGGTGTCCCGAGAAAGGTCAGGGCTGGAGAGAGACAGGAGAGCTGTGGGCACTGGGATGGGCTGAGGGAGTGGCACTGAGACCTTGGAGCAGGTGTGTAGAAAGAGAACGGCAAGAGGAGAGCGGAGTCACTTGGAAATGTGTGGGCGAAGGATTACCCAGGTGCCGAGGCAAGAGACTGAAGGCACAAACCGTTTCAGTATAATAAAGAAAAGAGAATAAGAATAGTCAAAATACGAATTAGATATAGAGATGATGATGGACAATTATCAATCATTAGTATAAACATTACTAATCATTAGCTTTTAATATTCCTCTTTGTTTCATTACTCATATAACCTAAGAATAACCGGCGGGTATAGGGTCAGGTGCTAAAGGGACATTGTGAGGTGACCTAGAAGGCAAGAGGTGAGCCCTCTGTCATGCCCGCATAAGGGCCGCTTGAGGGCTCCTTGGTCAAGTGGTAATGCTAGTGTCTGGGAAGGCACCTGTTACTTAGCATAGCAGACCGTGAAAGGGAGTCTCTTTTCCTTGGAGGAGTCAGGGATCACTGCTCCACCAGCTTCCTGTGGGAGGCTGGATATTATCCAGGCCTGCCCGCAGTCATCCGGAGGCCTAAACCCCTCCCTGTGGTGCTGTGCTTCAATGGTTATGCTCCTTGTCCACTTTCATGTTCCTCTTGTACTCCTGGTTTCTCTTGGAAGTTCGTAGTAGATAGCGGTAGAATAAATAGTGAAAGTCTTAAAGTCTTTGATCTTTCTTATAAGTGCATAGAAGAAAACGCTGACGTATGCTGCCTTCCCTCTCTGCTTTGGCTACCTAAAAGGGAAGGGCCCTCTGTCCCATGATCACGTGACTTGCTTGACCTTATCAATCACTTGGATGACTCACCCTCCTTACCTTGCCCCCTTTGTTTTGTATGCAGTAAATATCAGCGCGCCCAGCCATTCGGGGTCACTACCGGTCTCTGCGTCTTGGTGGTAGTGGTCCCCCAGGCCCAGCTGTTTTCTCTTTATCTCTTTGTCTTGTGTCTTTATTTCTAACAATCTCTCGTCTCTGCACACGGGGAGAACACCCGCTAAGCTCCGTAGGGCTGGACCCTACAGAAATGCCCACATTTACCTCAGGAGTAGCAGGAAGCAGAGGAGCCAGCCAAGCGGGCACAGAAAAAGAGGCAGGAGAGGTCAGGAGGGTGCTGCTGCAAAGAGGCCCTGAGAGGAGCAAGCCCAAGGTACCGGTTAAGAGTTCAGTTCAAGCCCAGGCAAGGTGGCTCATGTCTGTAATCCCAGCACTTTGGGAGGCTGAGGCGGGTGGATCACTGAGGTCAGGAGTTTGAGACCAGCCTGGCCAACATGGCAAAATCCTGTCTCTACTAAAAATATAAAAATTAGCCAGGCATGGTGGCAGGCCTGTAATCCCAGCTACTGGGAGGCTGAGGCAGGAGAATCACTTGAACCCGGGAGGCAGAGGTTGCAGTGAGCTGAGATCGTGCCATTGCATTCCAGCCTGGGTGACAGAGTGATTCCGTCTCAAAAACAAAACAAAACAAAACAAAAAACAACTCAGTTTCTCAATTTGAAGACCACAGCTCTGCCACGTCCTGGCTATATTCATCTCTCTGGAACTCACAGGCCTCACCTCAACATGGGGACAGTAAAGTGTCTGTCTCAAAGGTTGCTGGAAGGAACTGGAAAGATGATGTATGTAAAGTAAGCTGGTGGGGACAGTGCTCAATAGAGCCTCTTTTTTTTTTTTTTTTTTTTGAGATGGAGTTTCGCTCTGTTGCCCAGGCTGGAGTGCAGCAGGATCTCAGCTCACTGCAACCTCCACCCTGGGTTCAAGCGATTCTCCCGCCTCAGTCTCCAGTAGCTGGGATTACAGGCATGTACCACTATGCTCAGCTAATTTTTGTATTTTTAGTAGAGACGGGGTTTCGCCATGTTGGCCAGACTGGTCAAACTCCTGACCTCAGGTGATCCACTCGCCTTGGCCTCCCAAAGTGCTGGGATTACAGGCATGAGCCACCGTGCCTGGCCGAGCCTTATTTTTAAAAGTGGAAGCTGGGACAGTGGCTCCTGCCTGTAATCCCAGCACTTTGGGAGGCCAAGGCGGGCAGGTTGCTTTGAGCTCATCAGTTTGAGACCAGCCTGGGCAACATGGCGAAAATCTGTCTCTACTGAAAATACAAGAAAATTAGCCAGGCGTCATGGCACACAACTATGGTCCCAGGTATTTGGGATGCTGAGGCAGGAGGATGGGTTGGGTCCGGGAGGCAGAGGTTACAGTGAGCCCAGATAGCGCCACTGCACTCCAGCCTGGGCGACAGACCCTGTCTCAAAAAAAAAAAAAAAAAAAAAAAAAGGCCGGGCGCGGTGGCTCACGCCTGTAATCCCAGCACTTTGGGAGGCCGAGACGGGCGGATCACGAGGTCAGGAGATCGAGACCATCCTGGCTAACACGGTGAAACCCCGTCTCTACTAAAAAGAAGTACAAAAAACTAGCCGGGCGAGGTGGCGGGCGCCTGTAGTCCCAGCTACTCGGGAGGCTGAGGCGGGAGAATGGCGTAAACCCGGGAGGCGGAGCTTGCAGTGAGCGGAGATCCGGCCACTGCACTCCAGCCTGGGCGACAGAGCGAGACTCCGTCTCAAAAAAAAAAAAAAAAAAAAAAAAAGAAGGAATGAATTAGCATGAATGAGAAAGGCATGATCTGCAGTGAGTTACCCCATGGTCAAAGACAGTGGACACCAACTCACTTGCAGAGAGAAGCTCAATCAGCCCAATGCTTTTGGCAAACTGTGGCTGCCACCCCGTCATCATCATCTGAGCTCACTGTGACTTGCCCTTCAGGCCTTACCTCTGACCCTGCCATCTCTGGAGAGCCCTCTTTGCAAGCCCAAGACTGGGCTCCCCCTCTCAGAATCATGTGCATACTTGTCATGGAACCATTTTTTTGCCCGTGGCTCCTGGAGGGCAGGGGGCTATCTGGCATACACCTGCATTGCAGCAGTTGCTAAATCAATGAACAAATACCAAGTCTTTCCTGATCTAACGTCTTTTTTTTTTTTTTTTGAGACATAATCTAGCTCTGTTGTCTTGGCTGGAATGCAGTGGTGCATTCTCTGCTTACTGCAACCTCCACCTCCCGGGTTCAAGCAATTCTCCTGACTCAGCCTCCTGAGTAGCTGGGATTACAGGCCTGCACCACCATGCTCAGCTGACATTTTTTTTTTTTTTTTTGTATTTTTAGTAGAGACAGGGTTTCACCATAATGGGGAGGCTGATCTTGAACTCCTGACCTCAAACGATCCGTCTGCCTCCGCCTCCCAAAGTGCTGGGATTACAAGAGTGAGCCACTGTGCCTGGCCCTCACAATCTAACTTGAGAGTGGTGGTAGTGGTAGTGGCAACTCCATCTGGGGGATGAGAGGAGGAGGAGGCTGCGTTTTGGGGGTGGCTTGCCAGAGAAGAGGAGAGACTATTAGCAACTAAAGGAGTGGCCAGGGTGAACACCAAGCATTTTCCTGATTGGGGAGCTGTGGGTTTGTTTAAAGGCAGGGCTGGGTGAGGGGTGAAACGAGAGAGGAGGAGAGATGGCTGGTGCTGAACTGGAGTGAAAGGCATCTGAGGGGCCAGGAGACAGGATGGGGAGGGAGAGGAGTTAGCCTAGGACAGGACAGGATAGCACTTCTTTCAAGAATGGCGGGCCTGAGGAAAGGAAGGGGAGGGATTGAGGAATGACCTGGAGTTTCTCAGTCGGCTAGGAGAAGATATGGAAGAGGGCTAAGCGGGGATTGGCTGCGGTTGGGATGGGGAGGAGGGCCGGGAGCGCACGAGGGAGGGTCGGGGATGGGAAGGGGGGTGTGGGGGAAGAAATACTCACAGGGGATCGGAAGGCCCCGCGGCAACTTCGGGTAAGTCCTGGTTCAGTCCTGGAGAGGAATCCGAGGGGAAAGCCTGATTGGACCCACAGTCCGCTGTGAGGACAGGGGTACTGTGGGGATGCGGGAGGAGGAGCAGCTGGGAAGTAGGAGCGCCTGGGACTGGATCCATCTGGAAAGGGGGCAGATATGCTCCCAGGATCAGGGTAGAGACCCTCTAGGAAGGGGGCGTTCTGAGGCGGGGGTTGTCTGAAGCACTGGATGGGAGTCTTTGGAGGTGATTTCTGGAAAGGGAAAGTCTGGGGCAGGGCTGTAAGAAGTCAGGAAAGAAACTGTGGAGTCCGTTCCTCGCCCACCTCCTGAGCCCTGGGGTCCGAGGCCCCCGGATCAGGGGGTTCAGTGGCGCAAGAGGGTCCAGCGCGGGAGTCGGAGAGCGGCCTCTCAGGTGCGCGAGGCAAGGAACACTGACCCGGAGCTTGATGGTCGCACAGCAAGCTGCGCGCGCACCCAAGGAAAGCCGGCCCCGCCCCTCTCCGAAGTGGGCGGGGACAGCGGTTGCGTGCGCAGCTTTTGTTGTGACGCCACAGATCCCTCTGGCCACGCCGCTGCCTGGCCACGCCTCCTTTCCGCTTTATCTTTTTCATTGACGAATGGGCTTTGATCTTTGAGGCCACGCCCTTATTCTGCGCTCTAGTACCGCCCTGGTTACGCCTCCTCTGGCTCGGTCGCACAGCTGCGCGGTGGCTGACTGACTTCCGCAGTGGTTGCCGGGATCGCGCTGATGTGGCCCCAACCCCGCCTCCCTCCCCGCCCCGCGATGTCGGAAGAAACCCGACAGAGCAAATTGGCCGCAGCGAAGAAAAAGGTAAAGTGCACCGGGTCGCGGCCCCCTGGCCCAGCCCCAGCCCCATTCCGATGGCAGGACCACGGCCAGAGTCCCTGCCACTCATGAGGCACACCGGGCTGGGCTCCCCCCAGCGCCTCTGGGCTCCCCCCACAAAAGTCTTGTCAGCCAGCCCCGCCCCCTCAGCCGCCCAGCCCCCGCCCTCGCCAGTCGCCCCCGGGTGACTTTGGGCTGGTGACTCCCGGGGCTCCCCGCTCCAGACTCGGCCCTCACCTCCTGCCGCCCCAAACCGGACCTCCCTGGGCGATTTGGGCTCGCGTCTCCAAGGACCTGGGTCCTGGCCCTGCGCTCCCCTCCCCCATCGCAGAGCAGCGACTTGGACGTCGCGCTGATGTTCCCCCCCAGGAGTGGAATGTAGTGACGTCACAGCCCCCCTCGGAACCGTAATTAGTGCGCGAGACCAGTCTTTGATCTTAGGACCCAGTCCCCTAAGTGTTCTCATCCCGCTTCTGGTTCCTTTGGTCACAGCATAAATTTCCAGCTGGAAGGGGATTGGGGACTATGGCACCTAGGAGGGAGAGGTTTCAGGCTGCCTTACACCCTTAACATAGACACTGATAGTGTGAAAAGCCTACACTTCCCCCGTGAGCTCAAAACATTGGCAGTATCTCTGGGTGGCAATGTGAGAACGGGATTGGTTTGATTTTCCCCCAGGCTTCTACTCTCCAGAGAGACTAACATTTTTTTTCTGACTTCCACCTCATATTCGAATTATCCATGGTTCTGGGACCAGAGTGCCCTTCAGTGGTCTCTGGAATGAGATCTGCTTATCTCCTGTGGAACAGGTCTTGGGAAACTGAACTTGACAGCTTGAATCTTCCTCATATCATCTCAGCCTGGGGTACTTGAAGTGCCACAGGATAAATATCTTTCTGAAGCATCAGTTTCCCTTTATTCTCTTGAGAAAAAAACATTAATGTACTTAGGGATGACAGTCACATAAATTTCTAAGAGTATACCAGACTTTTCTCTGAAATGAGGCTTGGGTTGTCCTCTTTCTGTTGAATTCCCAGGTTCAACAGAAAGGCTGCCTTTTGCCAGGAGGATACATTGATGTAAGTTTCAGAGGCATTGGTGCATTTCTTACATTAACAAATGTGTGAGGATGTATGACTCTAAACCACACAGTGTACAGTTCCTGCCGACTTAATGTTCCAGCCCACATTTTAAGATACATATTTATTTTGAGAGGCGGAATGTCACTATGTTGCCCAGGCTGGCCTTGAACTCCTGGCCTTAAGTAATCCTCCTGCCTTAGCCTCCTAAGTAGCTGGGACTCCAAGCTTGACTTTTCCACCTCATATTTGAATTCTCCATAGCGGAGTGGAATGTAGTGATGTCGCAATCCCCCTCAGAACCGTAATTAGCGCGTGAAACTGACTTTTGATTTTAGGACCCAGTCCCCTAAGTGTTCTCATCCTGTTTCTGGGATGAGAGGTAGAAAGGTACCTCTGCCTCTGGTTTTGGCCCCTGGCAGCTGCTGATTTGTGGCAAAACCCCAGAGCTTGGAGTCAGAAGACTGAGTTTAAGTTCAATTCTTGCATTTTTTTAAGCCATGGTATCAGTCCCTCTCAGTCACTAAGTGATTGTGACAAGACCTTGTAGACTTGTTGGTGGCGTTAAATCAGATGGTATATATGAGTATTTCGGAAAAATTGTAAAGTAGGATGTAACTGTAGGGGCTTGTAGATCTCATGAGTATTATTGCTCTTCTTTTCCACAGTTGAGAGAATATCAGCAGAGGAACAGCCCTGGTGTTCCTACAGGAGCGAAAAAGAAGAAGAAAATAAAAAATGGCAGTAACCCTGAGACAACCACTTCTGGTGGTTGCCACTCACCTGAGGATGTGAGTCTTGGCTGGCTAGGCTCCTGGGGACAGGGGGCCCAAGGGGCAGTAGAGGGTAATTGTTATGATTGTGGAAGAACTGTTGGGTGCTGATTAAGAGTTCTGGGTGTGTATCCTACCTGTCCATCTGCTAGGGATGTGATTTAGGGCAAATCGCTTGAGCTTTTTGGGCCTCTCTCTTCACATCTGTAAAGTATTGTTTTACTTACACTTGTGAAGTTTAAATGAGATTTGTTATTATTGTTGTTTTTATGTTAATCCCTAGTACAGAGCCTGCTGTAAACACCCAGGACACCCAGGAAATGGTAGTTGCTGTTTCATTTTCCTCATCTCCAGTCTCAAGGGGAAGCCAGGCCAATGACAACAGCCACTGGCCATCAGGCTATCCCTTTAGGAGTCATTGAAAGGGCCCCAGGGTGTGGTGAGGAGAGCCCCAGGCACTAGGATTAGGGGAAGATCTAACTTTTGAGTTCATCTTTGCCACCAGCTTGCTGCATGACCACAGAAAAACCACTTCTTCCCCTGGGCCTCAGTTTCCTCCTCTGTAAGATGACATTGGTTAAGATCAGTGTCTCTCAAACTTGTTTTTTAGCTGGAGCCCCCTTCGTTCAAGTGAACCCTTACTCAGAAGTCTGGTTTTTAAAATGGAGGTGGAGGTCTGCAGCTCTGCTAGATTCACTGCCCACATCCTGGGCCTAAGGAGAAGGGTCCAGTGAGCGTATTAAGAGCTGCATTGGTCAGGTGACTCCACTCTGTGTGACTGCATCCTTCAGGGGACTTTTCCATCTATTTGTTTCTGCCCCCGGCAAGGCAGCAGGTGGCCATTTGGAAGGATGGCACAGGCCATGGTATTGATCTCCTCCACTCTTCTTCAGCATTTCGTTTCCCTGAACCCACATCTTCCTCCTTCCCTGACTTTCTTGCCTCTCTCTAAGCCACTTCTACCTTTCTTCCCCTGCCCTTGTTTTTCCCTTTTCGCCTCCTGTAGATTCAGGACATTCTGAAGGTGCTGGTGTCCGACCTTAACCGTTCCAATGGGGTAGCGCTCCCCCCATTGGACAAGTGGAAGGTGAGGCAGTGCCGAGACCCCTCTCTGGCTTGCTCTCTCCAGCTATGCATGCCCCTGAGGCTTCTCTGGTTTGGGGGATACTTTGCCTCTGGCTTATTTTATGTTGCTGCCATTAACCTTCCGCCTGTTTATGTCCGCTTCTTCACTTGCTTGATTGATCGGGTTTTTATTCTTCCCCAAAATCTTTTATCATCTTGGAGAAGGTGAGACATACCTTAAAGTTTAACAGTTTAAAGGTAATTTGGGAATAACTTTCAGAGGTGTGTGGGATTTGGGGCTTTTTTTTTTCTTCTTTTTTTTTTTCAGAGACAGAGTCTCACTCTGTTGCCCAGGCTGGAGTGCAGTGGCACAATCTTGGCTCACTGCAACCTCTGCCTCCTGGTTCAAGTGATTCTCCTGCCTCAGCCTCCTGAGTAACTGGGATTACAGTTGCCCACCACCATGTCTGGCTCATTTTTGTATTTTTAGTAGAGATGGGGTTTCACCATGTTGGCCAGGCTGGTCTTGAACTCCTGACCTCAAGTGATCCACCCACCTTGGCCTCCCAGAGTGCTGGGATTACAGGCGTGAGCCACTGTGCCCAGCCTGGGATTTGGGCTTTTGAATGCCTATTGTGGGTACTCTCAGACTAGGAGAGATGAAAAAAAAAAAAAGAAAAAACCCAACGGACCTTTAGGTTTTGCCCTAAAGGCAAAGATCAGTAAACCACATAGAAGTTAGTGATTTTTTTTTTAATTAATTCACTTTGGTTTAAGAGTAGGGAACAAAGGGTTAAGAGAAAATGAGTCCACATTATAGTTGGAAGGATTGAAGCTATTTTTTCAGAGGAACTAACTGTAAAAGATGTGAGGTTAACTAAACAGATGAGTGACCAAGACGTTCTGCCCCTAACTTCTCCAAATGGACATTTAGCCATATTCACTGGGCTCTTGACAACAAAAGCACTTTGATAAATAAACAGTGGAGAAAATAGATGAACAAGGTAGGCTGCACACCGAGGGAGGCAGACTCCTTTGAAGGAGGCAAGAGATAATTTTGGACCATTCCAAATGCTCAGCTCAGGGGGAGGTTGGTTCCGAATGGACTCCAGGCTGGAGAAGGTGGCATTTGAGGCTGGCTTGAAGATTAAAGGTGGGTAACATTAATCCATATGGGGAGTGGGGGAGGCCGGGGGAGTGGTGAGGTCATGGCCAGAGTGTGAACTCACAGATCACCTTTCAGGAACACAGGGAGTCTGCTGGGGGGCAGGGCATGGGGGTACACAGGGCTAGGAGACAACCTCCTCTGGCTGTGATTTGGCATTTCCTCCATCTCTGACTCACCTGGGGGACTCCTTCCTGCCAAGCCAGAGGAGCAGGACACAAATAGAGCCTGTTGGAGATGGGTATGGGGAGAGGGACTGAGACAGAGCAGCCTTGGCTGCTGTTAGAGTTGTCCAGTCGTCACACCTGTTACCCTCCAGTTGATCAGGTCTGTCCAGGTGCTGTGACTCACCTTGCCAGCTCAGAGGAGACACTGAGTGGTACGGTTGGGGAGCACAGGCCTAGAAGCGTCCTGTAGCTGAGTATTTGGCTTTTGCTCTGCCAATGGTCCAGTGGATTAGGGGGTCTGCAGCCTGTTTCCTTATGCTCTGAGATTCCGTGCCAGCCCAGGTCCCTCTGTTCTGGAAACAAAGGCCTCGGTCCTCGTATTTCCGTCTTGTTGTTTTGTTTTTGTTTTTGAGAAAGAGTCTTGCTTTTTCTCCTGGAGTGCAGTGGTATGATCTTGGTTCACTGCAACCTCCCCCTCCTGGGTTCAAGTGATTTTCATGCCTCAGCCTCCCAAGTAGCTGGGATTACAGATGTTGCACTATTGCACCCGGCCATGTTGTTTTGTATTTTTAATAGAGATGGGGTTTTGCCATGTTGCTCAGGCTGGTCTCGAACTCCTGGCCTCAAGTGATTCACCTGCCTTGGCCTCCCAAAGTGCTGGGATTACATGCGTGAGCCACCATGCCCAGCCCCTTGCTATTTTTATACCTTCTCTATATGCATAACTGTTTCTAATGTAGGTTGTTTTTTTTTAATTTCTCATTTTTATTACCATGTAAGTTTTCTACTCCAGGAATGCAGGCCCGTGATTGTAGTATCTTGAGTAGAGCTGATAACATTTCCAGAAGTAGGGAATAATGGAGAGAGAAAAAATACCTTAATGGGATGGTACATTTTGAGGAGAATAGGCTTTCTTAAAAACTCTATCTTGGGCCGGGCGCGGTGGCTCAAGCCTGTAATCCCAGCACTTTGGGAGGCCGAGATGGGTGGATCACGAGGTCAGGAGATCAAGACTATCCTGGCTAACACGGTGAAACCCCGTCTCTACTAAAAAATACAAAAAACTAGCCGGGCGAGGTGGCGGGCGCCTGTAGTCCCAGCTACTCGGGAGGCT